TTATATGAATTTTCAAATGTGTAAGTTACATTTTAACTTGCCTCAACATGTCCAAATGTAATTAACTAATTACAATTAGACTAATTCAATTACAACTGAATTAACTTTTTTTCTTCACCAATTTATTGCAAAATTTTATTAATCTACATAAGATAAATATTGTATTTCATTATTATACACTGCCTTTTTACTTTTTTTTTCTTCAACTGAAATTACTACGAATTGATTTTGTTTGTAATATTGTTTTTTCATATTTATACACTATTTTGTAATATATTTTTCATATCCATACACTTTTTCTATAATATACTCGATATTTCGTATATTTTTTTTATAAGTTTTTAGTGTTTTTAAGACATTAAGTTTGTTTATTTCGATTTAAATTTGATGAAACACGAGATTACATTTTTCATATGTGCGGTTGACATTTTCATGTATAAATTATGTTTATAAACAATTTCTGGAGTTACAATTAATAGTATATAAAGTTACATCTGATCTACTTATATGCGATTTACATTTTCTTGCGCGTGAGTTACTATCTTATTATGCGCGAGTTACGTTTTCTTATGTGCAAGTTACAACTTCTGATTCGGAAGTTACATTTGGACTTGACTCAACAAATTACCTTTTAGATACACGTAAATTATATATATTTTTAAGTAGTGCAAGTACATCATAGAATACACCGTTCTTATTGAAATTTAAAAAATGATTTTTAAAACCATTTATAATTAATTTTTAAAATCATTAAAAAAATTGTTTTGAAAAAAAAAATTCAATCATTTTTTATAGTCTTGATATTAAATACAAAACATATGCAATATTTCTGTAAGGTAATTGAGCAATTAGACTCCTTTTTTCATTGTTTACATTGAAATCAGATTTTTTATTCTTATACTCCGTATTAGACAAGTACATTTTAACTTGCATGCAATTATATTTTTTATGAACGTGTGTTTACATTTATTTACATGTGAGTTACATCATCTTGCTACTGAGACAAAAAAAAGCTGATGTTCACTCGTATATAGTAGTGAGAGCAGTCCATACTCACCATGGACTGCTCCCACAATCTAACAACTGAAATTTTCTAGGGATAAACCAACGTGGAAATATTTTGTTGTCAAGTGGATTTATTCATTAACCTTTAATTCAGACATACTTTGAGGGGAAGTAATTGGGCCGCTCATCATTTGGCTCAACTTATGGTGGACAGCCCAAAAATTTATACTCAGATTGATCAGCTTCCTATTTTTGTTAAACGCTCTTATTGGATGGACTTTTATGGCATTCCGTCTTTTAGATACTGATTTTTGTTTTTATGCTGTTGTCGGATAACTGGGTAAGGTTTGGTCCCCTCGATATTCTATGTACTCTCTTCTCATTAATAAAATCTGGTAAATGTTCCCTGCATTTACCCCACTGATTTTGGTGGTTGACCTTCCGAAAAAAAAAGGGTTACCAATCATTGAAATTGGAATAGAGGGAAACGTTTTTAAAGCTATAAAAGTGACAAGTATAGAAAGGGGAAATCATATTTATGCAAAGTTGAGACAAATTTTACATAATATTTATTTTCCCTAGCACCAAAGACTAGGAACCCATTTGGTGATCTTATTTTTCGTCTTATTAGGTTCAAGTCTTTAATCAAATATGTAACTTTTGATTTTGCGCGTTGAGATAGATGCTGATAATCAAAATAAATTAGTTTGGAGTTATTTTTCTGTTTGGATTGACTAAAGTTACTATGGATGACATTTTTAATCATTTTTCATATAATTTTTTCTTTGTTTTATTAATAAATATATTCTGAATATATTCAACAGAATCAACTCATTCAAGTGCTTTAGTCAGAATTTCATAAATTTCAGTAAAATTAACAGAGTTTCATAAATTTCAGCAGAATCACCCGTCGACACTAATTTATGTGTTACAAAAGAGGCTCTACATGTAATTTTGAATGAAGTTAATTGTTTACTGCCACTTTACTGACTGAGTCACGATGCCTACCTTTTCCACCATCCTGTCAGGTCAGGGTGGGGGCTCCTGGGGTGGGAGAATCCATCTTTTGGATCAATTGGATGAAGTTAACTGTAAATAGTAATACTACCTCCGGTCCCTATTAAAGTTCTCACTTTCCTTTTCGGGATGTCCCTTATTTAAGTTCACACTTCCATTTTAGGAAACAAAACAGTGCAAAATAATGCCAAACAGTGCCAAACAATGCACTCCACAGTAAAGTCAAATTTATTTTCTAATCTGTGTGAAATCAAAGTGTGAACTTTTTAATAGGAACTGGAGGGAGCAAATGTTTTTACTAGGGCTGGGCACAGGCCGGATCGGGGCGGGTAATACAAAATAAAATGGAACCGCCGGTTCTATTATACGGTCTGGTTCGGTGCGGTCCGTGTATTGCAATTTTCAAAATAGGAACCGGACTTTACTCGGCCCGTTTGGAATGGGTCGGTCCGGTCCGGGTTTTACAGTTTCTATTCCCATGTCTTAAAATTAGTAAAAAAAACTCACAAAGTTCCAAAAAATAATGATCAATAATATAGGGAGATTTCAACAAGTAGAACCAAATCATACTAGTTTTTCAAAATTAAGACTATAAATTAGTTTAAGACTTAAGTGCACTTCTTTTGACCTTTATACCCTTACTTTAAATTCAATTAGCAGACCACAATAAAAGATCGCAAGACACAGGAATGGCCCAGACAGATCGGCATCCTCGTGAAGAAATGCTTTGACGCGGATCTGCAAATTTGCTTGGAGTTGATCCCCAACTCCTCCAGAAGTGGTGGTTCGTCCTCGAAACTAGCGCCGCCGCCGCCGATAATGGTGAGAGCGAACTGGGGAGTGGAAAACGAGGTTGAGGCGGCCGCAGCGAACCAGCTTCCAAATCGACTTCACCGTCACCGACGCACCAGATCTATCGGTTTCAAATTCACACTGCTCCGATTGACTTCATCCCACCGCCGAAGGTTTGCTCTTCTTCTTCTTCTCCTTCTCCTTCTCCTTCTCCTTCTCCTTCTCCTTCTCCTTCTCCTTCTCCTTCTCCTTCTCCTTCTCCTTCTCCTTCTCCTTCTCCTTCTCCTTCTCCTTCTCCTTCTTCTTCTTTTCTGATTTTGGACATTGATTTCTTCCTACTCTGCAAAACTTTTGAAGAAACCAGATCCAAAATCAAACTTGAAAACATAGACAATACTTAGACATTAAGTAGTCAGTAACCAGACAATAAGTTCTAATAATAGCTCAATAGCACGCAATATATAGACAGTAAGTAGTCATTAAACAGACAATAAATTCTGATAATAGCTCAACAGCATAGCAAGTAACGTGAAACAATATATATGTACAATTAACTATATCTAATGATTGATCCACATCGAGAGGTTGTTGAAAACTCCACAATGAAGCAATATAGGTAATCTAGCACTCTGTAAAATTGTCAACAGCCATTAATGGTTCCCTAGAATGCTTCTATTTGGATTCTGGAAATTGGAGTCTCGATAGAGCTGAATTTGTTGATTCCCAAGCAGTACACTCCGAATTCATATGCAGGTGTCGAGTGTGGAACCATGAAAACATTCCACGAGAATGTTGAAGGAAGAAGGCTCGAGCGTAAATCTTCCGATCGTTAGCGTTGCGTCGTTTTAATTTGGGGGAGATCTAATAAATAGCTGAAGGGGTAAAAATGGAAATTTAAAATCAAGTTTCCCCAAATACTACTGAATAAGTCACACGTACTGAAGAAACAATTATATGTCTTATTTTTGTAAAATCCGTATGAATTGATCCTACACGGAGCAATTTTCTCTCCAATAATATATTACATTAGCAAGTTTCAAAATAACAACATAGTGGTGTACATTTAACACAAATGCCAAGTCCAATACTCCATTATTTCATGTATATAAGTTTCAAACAATTAAAAATGTTCCAAAAATCAGCAACATAGCAAAAATACATATTTTCTAACATTTCACTACAAGAAAAGAGCACATAGACCGCACATAGACCAATTTGTTTTTTGCGATGGCCGCATAACTGTCGTTAAAAACACTATTAACCACACATTTTTTTTATTTACCACATACAAAATTGTGGTAAAAGGTTAGAGATGGCAGTTTTTAACCGTTGCCAATGTTTTTACCACGGCTGTTGTGGCGACACACGTAAAACTGACGCAAAACTATCGTAAGTGTTCCTCCTTATGTTTTTACGATAGTTTTGCGACAGTTTTACGTGCGTCGGCACAACAGACGTGGTAAAAACATTGGCAACGGTTAAAAACTGTCGTCTCTAAGCTTTTACCACATTTTTGTGTGTGCTAAATAAAAAATGTGTGGTTAATGGTGTTTTTAACGACAGTTATACTGTCATCGCAAAAGAAATTGTGGTCCATGTGCAGTCTATGTGCACTTTTCTTGTAGTGTTTGAATTGAAGCACACCATATTAAGGTGATTGTTCTTTTAATTAAATTTTCACTATTAGCCAAAGTTGACACATACATGGGGTGGCAAGCACAATTTATATTAGTATATTTTAAAAACAATATTATAAAAACAAATACTAGTATTACAAAATCATTTTTAACAAATAATTAAATTCCATAGAAAGGAATAATTCAATAACAATAAAAAGTAATAAGAAATTTATGTAAAACTTAATCAGTAATTTGAAAACAAAAGTATGTTACTGCAACCAATTTAAAATCCTATTTCTAGCTAAGGAAAACAAAACTATTTCAAAATCGATTATCACAAAACTATTAATAAATTAATATATAATATATAACGGGCTGGGCCGGGTACCCGGTATTTTTTATTTTGGAATCGGTCCGGGCCTTTAAAAAAAATTACCCGACCCTATTCAGACTATTTTATGGCAACAAAAATGGAACCGGCCCGTTTTAGACCCGAACTGCCGTTACCCGGACCGGACCGACCTTGTTACAATTCTATTTGAGTGTCATTTGTCAACTTCATAATTTGACCCAGAACCATTGACCATATTGCTCTCCTTGCCTGACCGAGTGACCCCATCTCATGCTACACCTTCGGAATGTTTTCTCCATCCTTCAGTCACTCCAGTCAGACTGCTAGCTTGATCCCGCGTAATTCAGCTATTCGTCGGAAGGACTGATCCCGCGCAATTCAAAGCTCTTAAAGTTTGCATTTTTTTAGACGATGGAAGTGCGATTACTGTTTGTCTTGTTATTGGTTCATTACGCTTCTTCCTTGGGCAGATCGGCAGCCTCTCCGGTTTGTGGTGATGTTGTCGGAATCTCTCCTCAAGGTCCTGGTCATCTTCATTCCCCTTTCCTCATTTTGCTTCTTTTTATTTTATTTTCTTTTATCGATTGAAGTTTTTCCATGTTTATTTTACTGCAGACGAGGAGTACTACAAAGCGCTATCAATGGGGGTGTCCATAAAATGCAAAGACGGATCCAACAAGTTCACGAAGTCTCAACTCAATGACGATTTCTGTGACTGCACAGATGGCTCAGATGAGCCAGGTCCTCAATCTATTACCATCCAATTTCATAAAATTACATCTATGTTTACTTCGCTGTACTTGTAGTAACTTCTGGAATAGCTGAAAATACTTACTGGAGAATCTTGAGTTGTCTTGGTGGTTGATTTCCAGGCACATCAGCTTGTCCGGAAGGAAAGTTCTTTTGCAAGAATGCTGGGCATTCTCCGATATTTATTTATTCATCAAGGGTGAACGATGGCATCTGCGGTACGAATTCCTGCATTCTAATGTATCAGCTTGTCTTTATTAGCCTCTTGTGAATCATTGAAGCCCCAACTCTGGTATTAGTGTTTCACTGTTTCTTACTACCTCCATCCCATCGAAGAAAAGTAAAAATTGTGCGGTTGAGATTTATTTTTATCTTTCTTATGTTCTTATGCTATTTTTATCTTATCTATTTTATCTTACCTTATCTTTTTTGTTTTTCTTATCTTTGTTCTTTTTTTGGCTCTGATATCTTGAATCGATTCATGCTAGAGCATCCACATTGATGATCTTCAACTTTACGGTTTTTCATGGCTTATTATTGTCATGTCACCTCCACATAAGATAATCTCAAACAATCTCCAAACCAATAAATTTCTCCTTGGATAGGAGCATGAACATGCACGAACTACAAAGCTAGTCATCACCATAATTATGAGTATATGCCTAGAAGTTAGAAATAATCTCAAAATAATCCAGCTTTAGAATTTGATACCGGATTATTTTATCAAATAATCTCAAAGGAAAGTTGTCAAAGTCATGGAGGGAGTACCATTTTTATTACCATATTTGCCATGTATACTCCCTCCCTCCCTCTCTTCCCTTGTGACTTGACAGGCTTATATAAAAAGTGAAATTGTATGGATCTGATTGATGTCAAAAGAAAGAGAAACAATACCATCCTCACAAACCTTTACATAAAAGGAAATTGGAAGAAAAATTTGAAGCATCTCAAAAAGCAAAATTTTAAGAAAATTATGGGATGGAGAGACTATAACTGTATAAGGAATCAAAAGTAATACTCCGTATCTTGTGCAGTTGTTTGACTCTCTTAGTGTATACAACTTGTTTCTTGAACATCAATTATTGCAGTTATCTGTTAAAGTACATGCATACATACAAACTAAGGAACTTCGAAGTTTATATGATGGTTGATAATGTATAAATATGCATTTTCATACTGCAAAATAAATACTTGCATTTCAGTGTATATTTGGATGCTAATAACTCAAGTGGAATTGATGGTCAAGTATGTCTTTAAAAAATATATCTAAATGGTGATATATTAATTGCTTATGCTGTTATGCAAAGCAGTTGGTCCCTTTCAATGATGACCATGATAATGTGTGATCATTAACTTCTTCTTCCTTTCCGGCTTATGTGAATGTGTGTTGACTGATGATTCAATGAGTATCCTTTCATGCTACCATTATACTCCTCCATCCTAAGATAAGGTTCTTGTTTTCACTACAACAAAACAAGCCTTTAGCAACAGCTTAAAAATGTTACATTACATCATTAAAATGTTACAAAAGGCTAATGCAACACTTTTATGGGCGTTACTTCAGGTCCCGTTGCATAAAGTAATACGCAACATTTTTTCTCTTATTATGCAACACTGAACGGAAGTGTTGCATAAATATCTCATATGCAACACTTTTTTTGCAACACTTTAATGGGCATTTTATGCAACACTTTTTTAAATAAAATGCAACACTTAAGAAATGACTTTAGGCAACACTGTTTAATATATATGTAACATATGTGCTATACTATTTTGCAACACTTATTATATTTCGCAACAGTTTAATGAATGCTTTATGCAACATTTTATTCAAAATTGGCAACACGTCACTAGAATTATAAGCAACACGTATAGATATAGAACAACATGCTTGTAATATGAAATTTTATAAAATTATAATATTACAATATTAAAATATCTGGAATACATCTCAAAGAATCTATCATAAACTAAAAAGTAACATGCCCAGTTTGAATACATCTCAAAGAATGTATCATAAACTAAAAACTAACGTGCCCAGTTTAACAAAAAATTCAAAATATCATAGAATACTTCTAATAGCAACTAAAAATCTTCTAACTGGCCGGAAATCGAATAAATAGAAAATTAAACATGCAACTTCATTTCTTCAACTCTTTTCCTTTAGCAATGTCTTCTTTCTCATTTTCCACATCAAAGTGCTCGTAATTGTATCCACATTATTTGATGTCATTGAATACGAATGTTATGCCTCTTTTGCCTTAGCAATGTTTTCTTTCTCATTTTCTCTTCACATTTGCCTGTATTATGTGCCTCATGGTCCTGCATTTCAATGTACAATATAAAATAATACACCATATAAATAGGACATTGTGGCAACATCATAGAGTTTTATAAGCCCTACATCCCATTCTTGTTATTACACATTTTTTTCTAATTAACTTGTCTCTTCATATGACTATTCCTTGTTCCAGTAAGTCACATGTCAAGGAAACTGACTGTTTTGATTTGATGATTTGCAACTGGGATGAAAACTGAAATTTTGAAACACCATTCACAAATAACATATATAGAGCTTTGCACACTACTGTAATCAATATGCAATATTAATTAATAAACTGAAATAAAGAAGCATCTCTCAACCTCTTAATCTCTTCAATTTTCAGTTATTAATTATTAGGGTTTTCATACTTAAAAAAGCAACACCCCTGACCTGGGCTGAATAGTCGCTAAAAGTTGGACTTCTTTTGAAGTAAAATAAGATGATAAGGTTTTGGTACTCATCCTTACCCTCGGCGAATCCACTCCCTCATCCTAATGGTGTGGGTTGAATAGAAACCTGCAGTAAAAAACTTTGATCAGTACACAATTTGAGTTTTACAATGTGAAAGCCCATCGAATTAATTTTTCTGAATTAACACTAACAAATTATTCTTCTTCTGAATTATTATTCAGACCCCAATACCAGTATCCACAAAGTGTCTGATACCATCAAACATATAGGATTCACAGATGGCAGAATACATCTATCAAAGTATTACGAAAACCGAGTGAAAGAACTCACTTTTTTGTTGATCATAGCAATTGAAGTAACTCCATGAGATACTACTCTCAGTTTTATAATCTCCCAGTAATCCTTTAAAAGCGCCTGAAGCTGATTTAGAAATATCAATTCCATTGCGAGATATCTAGAATCCTCATGAGGAGAATCCGCAGCCTTTAAATGCAATAGTTCTGTTAATTGGTCAATTTCATTTCTGCATATTAAGTATTGCATGTTATTGGCAAGCATATACATGCAAAGATTAAATCGATACACATCAAAATCAAAGAAAATGATCAAAGAAACTAATCATAACAAAACATATACAATGCCTTAAAAGATATTATGAAGCCAATCACAAAGGGAGGCTCCAAGGACAAAGATAGAGATAAACCAGAATGAGGATAAAGTTATCATAATGCAATATGTATAAAACACATAGGTAGAATAACTAGGTCAAAGGCCAAAGGGATGTAGCAGGATTAGCGTCACTGCTATATATTAGAATCTCTATTTCATAAACATAAAATCCTAGGGATTGAAAAAGAAGAAGACAGTAGTTCACCTGCTGAAAGTTTTCTGTATCAACAATAGTTCAAGTTCAGAGAATGCACTGCCATCCAAATTATTAGCAGCATCCCCATATTTTTGTATTTTGACATTGAGAACTCTAGCATGACTCTGCAATCAGGACAACGGGAAACAAATTATATCTTCAAAGTCACAGAAATTTATGAGATAGAATCGTTAATGAAGAAATAAAGTACTTCTGATCGAATGTAGACTGTAGGCTGCCAGTCTCATATGAAGTGACCAATCTAAAAGCCTACCAAAGCGTTAGCTGTAATAGTCTAAAAGCCTTCTAAGAAATTGGAACACCAATCTAAAATTCTAAATAGCCTTGTAGGAGTAGTTATATGCAATCAGACTCACATTTGGACCTGAGGCCTGATGGACATTCCTTGAATCTATTACCCAAGATCTAAGAGTTAACTTTTATGAATTAACACAAGCAAATTCTTCTTCTTCTTAATTATTATTCAGGCTCCAGTACTAGTATGTCTAAAGTTTCTTCCAAAAAGATTTTTTTTTATAAACGTACACAACGTATTGGCAATATTATTCAGGCTCCTAGACTAATATTCATTAACCTCTTTAGTAGGGTAGATAATTGTTTTATTCTTTATATGAGATTACATACTTATCAAAAAACACATCACTAGGTGGTGCTCTTTGAGTCATTCACAGGTTATTAGAGATTAATACATTAGTTGAAAGATTATCTCATAGAGACACTTTAACAAACACCTTATAGGCATTCCCGAAATTGAGATAATTTGAAATACACTTCTCCATGATTTATCTCGAACATAAAGAAACAAACTACACTATACACAAATCATACACCAGAATCAAACCTTGAAATTAAAAAAAAAATGAAGTGAAATATATAGCGTAAACTGGAATCCTTAACGAAATATGGTTCTTTCTCAAGTATTGGGTAATAGGGTTAATAGGTCGGTAATTGTCAAGCTATACATCAAATTTAAAGAAAATAAGGAAAATTTGATACGTAGTAAAACAATTACACAAGAATTGAACTTGAAGTATTAAATAATCAAATACTCCCTCAGTCCCAAATTGTATGATACATTTACTATTCACTTGGTCAACATAAATCAATCTTAATCTTTTATTTTATATATCAAAAGTTTATGAAATTTGAATTATTTTTTGCAGGTTTTGTAGCGGTTTTAATGTAGTTTATGAATATGTAAATTTTATTTTCTAGAACTAATTTGAGTGTTGTCAGGGATCAATTTGCTTTATCATCAGTCAAACATCGTAAACCGTAATGTATCTTACAAATTGGGACGGAGGGAGTATCAGATTTTTAACTTTAAAAAATCTTTACCTAAATATGGATGGAGAGCAGTGGCGAACGATGGGATATCCACAGTTGGTGAAGTGGGAGAAGTATTTGGCGCAGAAGAAGGCTCAGAAGCGATGATCGACTGTGAGCGGCGAAAGACGGTGAGAGGCGGTAGACGGTGGGCGGCTGTCAGCGTTCAGCGGGGTCTCCACCAGTTTTGCCCTCGCTCCGGAGTATGTGGTTTTCAATCTGTATAAAAATACTACGGGGTACCAAGTATGGAGTAATACGAAGTGTATGAATTTAAACAAGCGAAAGTTCCCGAAATGGGACAAAAAATATTTGTAAATTCTAAAAAAAGATTGTCATGTTTTTATTCTTAAAATCGGAGTAATTACTGTCAAGTTTGGAAAATATTGTCATGTTTAAAGTCCGGTACCGCCAAAAATGACAGTAATTAGTCCTATTTTGGGAATAAAAAACATAGCAGTCTTATTTTCGAATTTACTAACGTTTTTTGTCCTATTTTGGATAAATTCTCTTTAAACAAGTTTTATTTTACGGAGTATTGAATTTAGGATGTTTTCTTTTGGATTGGCATTTGTTGGTCTAGTCTGGTTTGGTCAGATCTGGTAAACATCTGGTCTCTATGTATTTTATAACTATGTAAGTCTGGTTTGGTCTGGTCTGATCTGATCTGGGACTGAAAACAATCCAAAAGATTACATCTTTAAATACGCGAACTAAGCAGATGTGCTTCATGCAGATCAAAATAGTCGAAATCCTAATGTTTTGATTTAGACTTATTTCAAATCACATCATACCAAATCAAACTTAAATAAATCAGATTAAACCATATCGGATTTAAATATTTATAAATTACATAGAGATTGGACATATCAGAACAAATCAGATCAGATTGAAACTGACAAGATCAGATCAGATCAGAAAATTTGAATCCTATTAAAAGTAAAAATATCCTTAATCCTACGTTAAAGAGTGTTAACTTAATATATTTATTGAATTAATTTAGAAACATGAAATATTACTTTTGGATATATTTCATATAATTGAGCGTAAAGTCGTTGGGCAGTATTAAAAGATGTAGTTTAAATTGTTTAATTATATATTTATTTTGTAAGCAACACTTAAAACGTAGATGTTACATAATACTCAATGGTATGTAACACTTTAGAATAGGTGTTGCATAATTAGATGATCTAGATGTTTTTGCAACACTTATAAATATATGTTACATTACTTTAACTTTAAACATTATATGTAACACAAATAAAGATGTTACAAATAAAGTGTTACAAAACGTCAGTTTTGTTGTAGTGTTTCTATCTTTGTCCGTCCAAAAATAAGGTTCACGTTTTTTAAAGAGTTGCACAATTCATACTCCGTATTATTTATCCCTTGAATTTAAAAGGTGTGCGGGGCTTACACAACTAAGGCACTAAGGTGAAAGGAGTGAAGAATTAGCCTCCAAAACTTAAGCCTAAATTGATTTAAATGAGCCTTATGCCTTATGGAGTTCTGGTGTCAGAGGTGCACTCGCATGACATGTGAGTGTTAAAGGCGCTCAGGCTTACCGGGGCTTAAGCCTCAATTGCACACATTAAAATATGGAGTCTTGCCCTCTCTTTTTGTTTATTTTTTATGTTTTTTCCATTCTACGCACAGATGAAAGAACCTCATTCTTCTTTTTTTTCATCTTCCCCTTCAGACTCAATACTGAGACCTACCTCTTTTTTCCGCCTTCAACAGTAACCGAGCAGTCCAGCATCCACCAGTTTCTCATCTCTCTATGAGTCTATGTATTTAAACGCCATTCTGTTTTCGTCCCCTTTTACTAATTTCTGTTTTTTTCCTTCCCTCTACTACAGCCCTTATCACTCTATGTAGCTTGTTAACTTGTATAGAATGAAGGCATTGAAGGTGGTAATATGGAAGGAGTCAAGGAGGTGGAATATGGTGATGGAGTTACAAATATAAATAATAATGCAAAGAATGATGCTTTGTTTTTAATTTCAACTTATCAAGTTTGTTTGCTATCATAATGAATAATCTATTTTTCCCTATTTAATACTCTCTATTATTTTATGTATATGTTTTTGTGTCTTGCGCCTCATGCGGCAGAAGCTGACCGTCTCGAGGACTGATTTCACCTTTCAAAACATTGATTTATCCTATCCCTCCTTTAGATCCAGATATTTTTACTTGATAAGCATCCGAAGTCAAACCCAGAACATGGTCTTGGGATGGAGGGTATTTGTAATACGCATGCTATAAGGAGAAAAGGTTATGGCATATCCTATGCTTAAAGAAATACTAATTGAAGTCATGTGTACTAATGAGGCTGCTTGATCGAGAAAAGCTTGGCGTCACGAGTTACTCTCTTCTAGTGTTAGGACATTGTTGTTATTGTTGTTATTATAATATTACTATAATACTATTATACTCCCTATGGCCCATTTTGTAACATACACTTCCCTTTTTGAGTTGTCCCCAAAATATGAACACTTTCTTAAATTGAACTCCATTAACTTTTTACTTTCTCACTTTATCCTTTTATCTATCATTTAAACCTTTACATTTTGTAGACTCTTCGTACTTTTTCTTACTTTTTGGAGTTGAAATTGTAAAACAACCACTTTATCCTTTATTTTCTTAAAACTTGTGCCAAACCCACATATCTTACATTATGGGGCGGATAGAGTAATATTATTACTAATAGTTTTAGTTTAGGTGTTAGTGTTAGTTTTTATTATTAATATATGATTGTTATTAGTAGTAATTAGTAATACCCTATCTGTATTTAGATTCCATTTTAGTTGGTATTCCTAACAGCTGTATTGTAATAGGTTTATGGTTACTCTAATACCTGTTCACAAAGTCTCTTAGGGTTAGTACTTTAGTATAAATAGATGTGCTTTATTCATGAGGAAGCAGTCCAGCACAGCTGGTCGCCTACTCACTCTCCCATACGGGAGGTCTCGGGTTCGAAACTTTATGGAGGGAGTTTCAGCCCTGTTTCCCTGTTTGCTCTAGGCTCCCCCAGCCCCCTCCCCTTACCCCTAGGTAAAAAAAGTGCTTTATTCATTTATACTATCATCATTAATTTTGGAGTGTAGACTAGTTATGGCACCACCTTCATTTGCTTTATCTTTATTGATTTCAATGCTCTCTTCCCTTTCATCTCCCAACCATACCCGTTAAAATGACTTTGAAGTCTATTTGCTTATATATCTTTGAAATGCTAGTTGATCTATTTGTATGTTGTTTTGCTGGGATGAACTTCTTCTTCCCAAGGACTTCAATTTTGGCATTATGTGTATCCCCAGTAAATAACTTTTATGGTTGCAATCAAAAAATTCTCAGGAGATTGATGTTTACAGATTGCTGTGATGGAAGTGATGAGCATGCAAGTAAAACTAAGTGCTCAAATACATGCTGGGAAGCTGGCAAGGAGGCTAGAGATAAATTGAAGAAGAAAATTGAAACATATCGAGAAGGTGTTGTTATACGGAAGCAAGAAATCGCACAAGCAAAATTAGCAATAGTTAAGGAGGAAGAAGAATTATCCACACTGAAAAACAAGGAGAATACACTTAAAGATCTTGTTGAGGAGTTGAAAGGTACTCCCTCTATCCCATTTTACCTGTCATGCTTTCCTTTTTGGTTGTCCCAAAATAAGCGTCACATTTCCTTTTTTGGAAAGAAATATGTGGTCCACAACATTTCACTTTACTCAACCACAACTTTTACCTTTTCAACCACTTTATAAATATTTGTGCCAAACCAGAATTAGACATAAAATTGGACTGAGGTAGTATAATTTAGCAGTAGCTTTGTTGTACTTTTGTTGTACTAATGATAGAGTAGTGACATTGATATCTTCCATCAATTAAGAAGAAAGGGGTCCAAAAGAAATGAAACACAATTGCCTATGGGTTGTCTAAGAGTTTGTTATGTAGGTATTTATCTAGGAGTATTTTTGCTAAGATATGGTAAGTTCATAATTTGGTGTTCCATGTTTCCCTTTCTCTATATTGAACTCATCATTTATAATGTACTTTTTTTTTCTTGTATATCCATCTTGACCTTCCCCTTCTTAGTTTGGTCGACTATCTTATGGACATTTTGTTTTTTGATGTTTAACACCCACTTCCATAAATAAACAACTTTTCAACACGATTTGTGCTCTTTACATATTTTTTAAGCATATTCATCTGATGAACCTGAATTCCCTAATTTACAATATGTTAAAGTTCTCGCGCTGATGCACTTCCTAATACATGTTGCATGATTAAAACAGCTTTGTTTTGTCTCAGTTCGTTAATAGTTTAGTCAATTCATTTTAGTCCATACTTCATATATCCCTAAATTATGTTCTGGTTTTCTTTGCCACACTTATTAAGTAAAACTATCTGATTGAGACCAGAGATTTATGTAGAATGGTAAAAAATTAGGAAGATGATTTTGAGGCAACCGGAAAGAAAAGTGAGAATCTAATTTGGGGGCAGAGTTAGAAGCTGTTCCGTTCGTCTTAATCTTATTACTTATTCCTTAATCTTATTTTATTCAGATCAGATCAGATCAGATCAGAAAGATTCAGATCAGATCAGATCAGATCAGAAAGATTCAGATCAGATCAGCAACATTCAGATCAGATCAGAAAGATTCAGACCAGATCAGAAACATTCAGATCAGATCAGAAACATTCAGATCAGATCAGATCAGAAACATTCAGATCAGATCAGATCAGATCAAAAAATTCAAACATGATTTATCACTTTTATTATTATATTAATTATGATTATTATATTATAGTTATTGTTAATAATATTAATATATTAATATAATAATATTATTAATAATAATATAATAATAATGTTAATAATATAAAATTATTATTATATTATAATAATATAATATAATATAATATAATATAATATAATATAATATAATATAATATAATATAATATAATATAATATAATATAATATAATATAATATAATATAATATAATATAATATAATATAATATAATATAATATAATATAATATAATATAATATAATATAATATAATATAATATAATATAATATAATATAATATAATATAATATAATATAATATAATATAATATAATATAATATAATATAATATAATATAATATAATATAATATAATATAATATAATATAATATAATATAATATAATATAATATAATATAATATAATATAATATAATATAATATAATATAATATAATATAATATAATATAATATAATATAATATAATATAATATAATATAATATAATATAATATAATATAATATAATATAATATAATATAATATAATATAATATAATATAATATAATATAATATAATATAATATAAAATAATATAATATAATATAATATAATATAATATAATATTATATAATATAATATTCAATTATAATTATAATTATAATTACAATTATAGAAATATTCAAATCAGATCAGAAAGATTCAGATCAGAAGAATTCAGATCAGATCAGAAACATTCAGATCAGATCAGATCAGATCAGCAACATTCAGATCAGTTCAGCAACGTTCAGATCAGATCAGAAAGATTCAGATCAGATCAGAAAGATTCAGATCAGATCAGATCAGATCAGAAAAATTCAGATCAGATCAGATCAGATCAGAAAAATTCAGATCAGATCAGATCAGAACTTAAAAAATTCAGATCAGAAACATTCAGATCAGGTGAACGGAACAGCTTCTTAGTATTAGTAGCTAGTTATTAAGTCAATTTGATGCTCTTAGTTATTGGAGTAGCATGTTCCATCATTTGAAATGGAGCCAAAGACTCACTACTTTTTGGCTTGGGAATATGATGGAATAAAGCAAAATGACTCACTAAACTGTCTGCGCTTCTTTGTTATGAAGCAACAGTCAGTCCATGTAATTTTCGACGCGATTTTCACTATGGTTCATCCGGGAACAGTCTCTCTGTGCTTGAGCATAGGGGTAAGAATGCGTACATACTACATCCAACCCTCCCTTACCCCAACCGTAGGTGGGGGAGCCTTTGCGGCACTGGGGAAATGATAATGATGGAGTTATAGAGTAGCACATTAGTCATAGTTAGCTATGTAATCAATTACATATTTGTAGGTATTTGGGCAGTTTAGGGTTCCTTGTATTTGCAAATTATAAAACGAATAACTAGTTTAAAGAGAGGTTGGAGAAACCATACATGCAAAAAAATCCTTATAAAGAAGCCAGGGAGTTGTGGGAACT